TTTTTTTTTTTTTTTTTTGTGGATATATGATGTGATGGATATTATTGCTCCATTTTTCATATATTGCGTAGTAATTTTGCGGGAGTTGTTGACATTATATTGGAGTGCAGTTATAAAGTGCAACGTGTTGTTTTATAAAGTTCTACGTGTTGTTTTATAAGGTGCAATATTCCGTTCTATAAAATGCACTAATTTGTAATTTCCCATGTGTATTCGAAAACTATTTTTAATAGATATAATTTTACATCTAATTAACCTAAATAATTAAAATATATTTCATCTATTATTTTTATTATATCATTTATTTATTATTATAAATTATGTAATAATTTATATTATTTTTATTTCATAATATATTTGTTATTTGCTATATAATATATTTATAAAAACCATGATTTATTAACTTTCACTATTTACAGATTTGACCCAAAGGGTTAAATTAAAATATAATTAAATTTACAAAATTTCAAACAAGTGCCTACACTTAACCTAATTCTCAACAAAATGCACAATCTCACCAAACTTCACTTTCAGATTTTCAGGTTTCAGTCGTCTTTTTTCGGCGAATCGACAGTCACCGACGTTTGTCACGGTTGTACCCTCTTCTGGAGCCCTGTTCGCAGGTGGCCTTTACTCAGCCGGAGGCGGCACGCCTGGAGCCCTGTGGCGGAGGAAGACGGTGGCTGCTTAGGAAGGCGACGGTCTGTGTGTGTGGGGTCGGAGTTGAGCGGCGGTATCGCACGGTTGAACGGTGTGCGTGTGTCGGAGATGGCTGTTTCGCGGCGGCGAGTGGCGGAGGAGTTGCAGCGGCGAGCGGCGGCTTTGCTGTAGTGGTGATCGGCGGCGGTTTGCAGTAGGGAGCGACGACGCCGAATGTCAGAGGGGAGGCTACGACGGCAACTGAAAGTGGCAAACGAGTGGTCAGAGGGTGGTCGGAGGAGGGACCATTGGAGCATGTGAGGAAAAGGGAGTATATAGCGTCGGTGAGAGCGGTGCTGTGGAGATTCCGGCGGGCGGGGGAGTGGGTGAACATGGTGGAGGGAAGACGGCATCGGTGGTGGGCCTGGTGGCAGCCTGTGTGTGTGTGTGTGTTGGTGTGCGTGCATACATATTGGTGTGTGTGTGTGGCTTGTATTGGTGTGTGTGTGAGTAGTTATGACTTGTAGAGTAATTAAATTAGATTGGGGTCAATTTCTTATATGTGTAGTATGGTAAATTATTGTATTGCCCTTAATGAAGGAATAAGTTTGACTTTTCTTAAGTCATTAGATCATATTATCTAATGACAATTATTTTTTCTCATTTCTTTCACTAAACATTATTCTCATGTGAATCCAACTATATATATATATTTTTTTTGTTACAATAAAGGAGGAAGGGAGTGGTGTATTAATTACCTAAATCTCGCAAAAACCAAATTCTGACGGGAAAAATAAGATAATTGGGTATGGGGGGAGAAAATGTTGAATATGTGGAACGGTGGCCAGCCACGTGGCAGCATGTCCTTCACTCTATCAAGGTGAGTTAAGGCTACTAACATAAACACATAGAATACAACACAACACAACACATCTCGACCTTCATCTCCACAACCTGCGCCACCGGCCGACATAAACATTTCCTGCAACCTACTGAAGATGGTGAGTGTGGAGGAAATCCACAGGGCTCAGAGGGCGGAAGGGCCCGCGAATGTGCTAGCGATCGGGACGGCCACCCCTTCCAACTGCGTGGACCAAAGCACGTACCCCGACTACTATTTTCGCATCACTAATAGCGACCACATGACGGAGCTCAAGGAGAAGTTCAAGCGCATGTGTGAGTCCTACTTAATTATATATGAAAACCGCTATAAAGAAAATATAGAAAAATGCTACAATGTACCATTATGTTGAAATTTGTAACCATTAGATGCACATGATAACTAATATAAATGTGCATCTAACGGTTACAAATCTTAATATAATGGTTCTATAATAGGACTGTAGTCTTACCGAAAAAATATATAGTGATTACTTACCCGAAAAAATATACAAAGTTTTAAGTATAACCAAAGGGATCAGAGCAACTGTCATTTTTTGTAAACGTTTCCATGATAATAAACGTGTGCAGGCGAGAAATCGATGATAAAGAAGCGTTACATGTACCTAACAGAGGAGATCCTGAAGGAGAACCCAAGCATGTGCGAGTACATGGCCCCTTCCCTGGACGCCCGGCAGGAGATGTTGGTTGCCGAGGTCCCGAAGCTTGGGAAGGAGGCCGCCCTCAAGGCCATCGAAGAGTGGGGCCAGCCCAAGTCCAAGATCACCCACCTCGTCTTCTGCACCACAAGCGGCATCGACATGCCCGGTGCTGACTACCAGGTCACCAAGCTCCTCGGCCTGCGCCCCTCCGTTCGCCGCCTCATGATATACCAGCAGGGCTGCTTCGCCGGCGGCACCGTCCTCCGCCTCACCAAGGACCTCGCCGAGAACAACGCCGGCGCCCGCGTCCTCGTTGTCTGCTCCGAGATCAGGGCAGTCACCTTCCGCGGGCCCACCGACTCCCACCTCGACAGCCTCGTCGGCCAGGCGCTCTTCGGTGATGGAGCCGCTGCCATCATCGTCGGCTCCGACCCTGTCGTCGGGGTCGAGCGTCCACTCTTCCAGGTTGTCTCCGCTGCCCAGACGCTGCTGCCAGACAGCCACGGGGCCATCAACGGGCACCTGCGGGAAGTGGGGCTGATGGTCCACCTGCTCAAGGACGTCCCAGGGCTTATCTCCAAGAACATAGAGAAGAGCCTAAAGGAGGCGTTCGACCCGATCGGGATCTCGGACTGGAACTCGGTGTTCTGGATCGCCCACCCGGGGGGGGCAGCCATACTGGACCAGGTGGAGGAGAAGCTGGGGCTCAAGCCGGAGAAGCTGAGGGCCACGCGCCACGTGCTTGGGGAGTACGGCAACATGTCTAGTGCCTGTGTGCTCTTCATACTGGACGAGATGAGGAAGGCGTCCGCCAAGGACGGGATGGGGTCCACAGGGGAGGGGCTCGACTGGGGGGTGCTCTTT